TTTTTTTTTTTTTAAATAATTAGATGAACAATATTGTTTTGAATTATAATTATATGCATTTAATTAGTAATGTGTGCTTGATGACATTTTTATTAATTTTATTTTTATAATTTCATTAATGGATGGATGGGTGAAATTTTTCAAAAGACTGCGGTACACTTAACGAATGCTCGCGGCACCCAGTTTGGTAACTATTGGGTTACACTACCACAAAACGACACTGACACGTCATTTAATGTAATAGTTTATTGTAAAAAAAAGTAGACGATATGGGGGACGGAGTGGCCGAGCGGACTAAGGCGTCGGTTGCGACGCGCTCCGACGCCGGTTGAAAAACTCGGCCGCGGGCTGCATTTTTCTTCCGGCAAGTCACGGTGTCCGGAGAGAAGTGCCGCCATCGCCCACCCGGGCATGGTAGATACCTACGGGTGCCCACTAAAAAAATCTGCCAAACTGTGTGAAAACCTACAGGCATAAAAAGAAAAAAAGCAGACGATAATAATATTGTATTATTTATTAGGTTATATTTTATATTATTATACTTTTTCTACATGGAACAGATGTAAAACAAAAAATCAACAAAACCAGCATTAAATATGAATATTAGGCTTAACATAAGACCTACATTTATTTATGTATACATCAACGAATACGCTCCGGTAATAATATTTTATTCTTAGGCGGGTAACATATAATATATTAATATAACATGACAACGAAAAAAACATTAGGTATGTATTTTATTGGCCATGAGTTCGAGTATTGTGATCTATATGATCACTATATTCGAACAGCCATACGTTTACAAACATAGTAATAATAATCAAAATAATAATAATGATAATAATAATAATTTAAACAGTATATAGTGGTTATTAACAATAATATATAAGATTATTACCCTCTTATTCAGAGAAAAAAAAAATAACAACAATTCATACAATGCTTGGAAAAATTATTACACTCTAAAATAGTCTACACCGATGACTTAGCCTAGCGATAGTTATTATAAACTACAATTTGAAATTATGCAGGAAGATCAAGTAAAGTTTCTTTGTTATTAGAAATTATATAGCTTTTTTATGAAATTAATTAAGTACGACTTTATAGAATAAAATAAACTATATCAAAAAATATAGATAGGTAATTTAATATTTCATTTAATGCTATTAAAATATTTGATTTTTGAAAATATGGACTTATAATATTGTGTGCGCAGTGTACACTATCAACTAAGGCCTAAGCCATCGATATTATCAATGAAAACGGTAATATACTAAATGGGTCGGGGTATTATAATATAATATAGGTATAATAATATATTATAATATCGTATCATATAATATATTATACTGTATAGGTAACATAATCAACAATAAAATAATTATTAATAATATTCAACACATTACGTTTTCAAAATTTTAACAGCAATTATAATATAATAGAATATGTCTAGCTATATATAATATATATATTAATTATTATCATAATATATGTTAGCACGGTATGTTGTACTGAGTTTATATATTATATTTATTTAATAATATTATAATAACGACTATAAAACGAAAATAACATCTAGTACCTAAGTAAATAGTGTTTAAAAAAAAAATGTTTAGTTATGCTACGCGAGTTATGACACATATTTACTGGTTAGTTGACTCATCAGTATGTTTTAGATTGGTATTATTATAATAATAAAAAATAATATTGCAGTGAATAATGTTATATTATATCGTCTTGAACACGAGGCACAAGGAAAGGGTATAATGTCATCGTAATAATATTTATATTTAAATAATGCAGGTTATTATTGTATATTTTAATTATTCATTATTATTATAATATCAGTTAAAATGTCACTTACAATATGTTAATATAATCACTCTGTTAAAATTATTAGCAAACAAACGGATGTTTAAGTCCATTTTCCGTTTAAATTGACTGACGGTTTAGAAGGGCAGTTGAACAATATAATATTAATATTTCTATAATAATAAATCAGGTGGGTCATAATGTTATTATTATGTGATCGTTTACGATCTCGGTATAATATTATTATTGCAGTATTTATCTATGATATTATATTTATTTCGCGGCCCCGGAGAAACAAAAATCGCTTTTATACACTTTTTCATTTTCTTTTACTATATACCTACTGGCAACTATATAATTTATACTTCCGAATAATAATATACTTTAAATATTAATAAAACACAACGTGGGTAATAATAATATGTAATCGATGCGTGGCAGCATCTCACACAATAAAATTGGTTCAAACGTAATAATATGAGGCTATAATATTATATCTTATAAGTATGATACATATAAATAAATTTCATAAAAACACGAAATATATAATAATAATAATATTTGGGGGAAACAATAACACACTGGAGAATCGGTGGAATCGATTATAAAATCAAATACTGTACCTAAGTGTACTCTAATGATATATTACCTTAATTACTTAAATCGGGAAGGTCAACGGATTACTGGAAATATGCGTGTACTACGGTGCATGAAATGGGAAATGTAGGTATTTTGTAATGTTTCAGTAAATGGATAGAGTGAATGGTATTTGGGCGAAAACGTCATGTTTCCGCCCATTTATTCGTCAGTCACCAATTCCAGCATTAGGAACAGGTTTGGAATGTTTAAGTGAACTAATGTTCCCAGATCCCTCCTGACACTCATTTTAGTTTTGACAGTGCAAGTCTAATAGTCTATATTGTGCAAGGTACGTTTTTGCATTAAACTGTATACCTAACTATAATAATATGACCCGCGAGATAAGATGTGGACAATATAAGCAATACAGCCACTAATAACTATTGCCGGTCAATAGGATCAATTTCTTCTAAAAAATCTTAAGCTATACTTAATACATCACAAACCTAACTGACGACCAATTAGTGACAAAAAAATGTGGGTGTTAGGCACTTACAGTGCAAAATAATATTATATTGGAGTATGTGTATAGGGGAAAAATTGGGTGAGAGCTTAAAGGTGGTACTTAAGATTTGATGAATGACTTGGAAAACGTGCATGGTCCACTGAGGGGCGCCAAGTTAGAATAGGGTTCAGCAAGAGGGTGCACCAATAAAGGAGAAAGTTTTACGAGATTGATTAACAATAGATATTGTAATATATTATGATGATTAATGGAGGCGTGTTAGAAGGTGTTCACTGTAAAGACATTTAGACTGATCGTGTAATGGCAATAATAATATTATGTAGGTATAGTTATAAAGAAAACATTTTCTTAAATAATAATAAAGTGACTAGCAATATTGCGATATCTTATAAAATACTAATCACACTCATAAGTGAGTGGCTAATAGTAATAAATATCACAGTATTGAATATTATCTTAAACAGAATATCGAACAATATATAAAAATGTGCAATAATTATTATGTGCGAAACGTGTAAAGTGCATTTGAAGTAACTACAGTGCTATTAGTATAACATATTGTAAATTATAATATTGAGTAAAAAGTTTAAAATAATCATATATTTGAATCGAATAATATAATAATACAATATATTCAAGGAGGTCCAGGGTTTTTTTCTAAACATTAAGAAAATTATATAGGGACAAAAAAATGTTAAAACAAGAACATTTTTGCAACAGCTGGTTTTAACACTTTTCGTGCTTTTAATAGTCATAATAAATTAGTAACATATCAAATATTAAGCGTATAATGTCAAGTCTGTACCATCTGAGGACGTCCATGATTATGTTATTATTATTATATTATACACAATACAATACGTGCTTATATAAATATAGAAAGTGAGAACATATGTTAGTGCATAATATTTTTGAAGTGCAACGGTGCGAATAGAAAACTTTTGTGCAAATGTGCGAATAAAACGGTGCAGAAAAACAACGGTTTACCTATACAGATAAGTGAGTGTCGAAAACCGTACAAACGTTTTGAGATCAGGAAAACGTTTGTGGATTTCCTTCACTATGGTGATTTTAAAAGCATGCAAACAAAAAATGTATACCTAAATTGAAGACGCAAACGCACCCGAACCGAAAAATCACGTTTAAAAGGTTAGTATAAACCGTAATCAACAATATACCAATGTATTAGGTACCTACTCTGTCGGTAAACGATTTTTCGTTTCGAATATTGTTCACGTCTTAAGTGATTAACTTTAGTGTACCAAGCCGTGACGGATTGATACATTGTATTATTTATTATTGCCATCATGCGATCGAAAAAAATGTATTGTGATTGAACAATTATCAGTAGTTAGGTTCTCATTTGTTGTGGGATGAAACTATAAAAGTAAAACTCTCGATACATTTAAACGGACATGCCAACCCTATGATTTTAACGGGTCGTTGGTTAGCCGTATTCAAACAATATTATACAACCAAACATCAAATTCTATATTTAAGACTTAAAACGATATTAGACTTGCGTGTGATTGTTGGTACAAAAGTGGCCAATCTCAGCTGGTGCATTATTATTATTACTGTTGTTACAATACACGTACTTGAGGAAATTGCAATCAGCGGATTTCCATTAAAACACACGACAGGGTGATAAAAATTGTGAAGAAACAAAAAATAAATAGGTACTCGAGAGTGGTGACTGACGAAAAATCGATATACTTAAAAGCAAACATAATATTATAATATAATATATAGAATAACGCGTGGACATGTGAACGAAGCAAATTATAAAAAATACAATATAATAATATGCTCACTATTTATTTTATCCACTACAATTACAATAACAATAACAACAACAACAATAATAATAATTAAGGAAAATCGGGGAAAACGCCGACTAATGATCATGCGAAATCATGTATCTAATATAAACGCAGCACACGCTGTACCTATTATTAATGACGGTGGGAATATAGAGCCATTGGCCGGGGATCGTCTACTAAATCATAACACAATAAAAACTATACATATTATAGAGACTAGCGGAATTTATCATTAAGCGTTTTAATCTTCTCCTGACTTAGAGGTCTTGTCCCAGACGGTCCAGTTCGGACAGCAAAAAGTCCACGTCTTCCTTGGTGACCGCGGCGCTAGATATTATGTTTCTGAAGAAGTTCGGTAACTCGTTCAGTGGCTGATATCCGACCATCAAAGTGCCGACTTCCATCATTTTGCCCTTCAGAACCGGCGTGATCTGCGACACATATTTTACAGGTTAGGTATTATTTATAATAGTGCACAAGTAGGTACGATTATGAGTATTATAATATGTTCGAGGGCAATCACTTCAAAACTTCATATTATAAAGGAGACTGAATATTTTCGCTCTTTCTACCTCCCAAGACAAGCAGTTTTAGGCTTTAGCCAGTTTTCGTAAAATTATTTAATTTTTACGTTTTGGTAAATTTTCATGATTTTTTTAGTATAAAATAATTTATATGTTGATTTTTTTAATTCTTTTAATTCAAAATAATAAATGTAATTTATGCATAGATAAAGTAATATCTTTATCGTTATTTTTCTATTTAAAGTTTTAATAATCGTCGATTAAAAACGTTAAGCGTTCATAAGCACCTACGGAATACCTACTTATTATTCTACCTGCTTGTTATTATTACAATATTCTTTTACGGGCAGTGGCGTGAGTCCCTACAGGTTAGGTTTTATGGATTCCCACGGAGAGCCTCAACAGAAAATGTTTTCTTAGTAACTGACAGTATAATTTATTACAATGTACAGAACACCTGCATCGATGAATAAAAAAAAAAGGTAGACATGTTGAAATAAAATATTGAGGCTCCGTTCAAAAATGTATGGACAATGTATGGGGCTTAGTATACGAGATAAAGTCTATATACCTAAAACGTTCGGCGCCGAGAACATTCGATTCCTTAGAAAAGGAATGGAGAATAAAGTGCTATAAAAATATTTGTCATTGAAACACGAAATAATGTACAAGCAGGTGGTTCTGAGAAGGGTCTCTTACAATGGCGTCTATAATGGCTACACACACACACACACACACACACACACACACACACATTCACACGTCGGCCACACACGTACAGCCACTAAGGAATGTTGTGGGACAATATTATATACTATACATTTGAAGAAGTCGTTATAAATGTGTGTGTATAGTTAATGCGTATGGCTATCGAACGACGGAGAACGTTGTACCTTTTTGGCCGAACGATTACAAAGAACTTCCCAGACAAAAAAAAAACCCAAAAGAGAATACGATCGACAACGAATTTCATTGCAACGTTGCCATATCATTTATTTGGCTTTTGAAACATTCATGCCCATGTGGCCGCGTGCGTAAAATAAAATATATTCTTGAAAAAAGTCATAAATTAATAATATTGCCAACACAATTACAATATTCATACTAAGGATAATAATCCTCAAATATGGTTTTACAAAAAACTGTGTAAAAACTGTATTATGTAATATTAGATGTAGGTAGTATTCGTTACACTTCAATGATTTTTACAAATTATTTATATTCATAGCTACTAACATTTTTTGATCATCTTAGGACTAAGACCCCAAATCTACTTAACCTATGGGCTATTGCCATAGGCCATAGACTTATTATTCTTAGTAACTTTGGCTCTGTCTATCTTAGCTATTTTCAATATTGTTTCTGGTGGAGTTTCAGTTAGAATTTTAATAACAATTAACATAATATATTGCAATCGTGTATCGCTTGTAACGGGTTGAATTTTATTGAATGTTTTGTACTTTTGTATATTAAACATTTTAGTTAATTACAAGTATACAACATTACAACTCATACAAGTATATAAGTATATTTTGCCTACCAAATTAATGTTTGTACCTACAGTAAAAAAATGAACGTTTCTATTGTGTAGGTACATAATATTATATACTATTTAGTAGGTATTATACTTTAAATATTAGCGTAAGAATTTTCTTGATTAGTTCGTTGTTAACGAATACCGTTTTTCAAACACTAATTGAAATAAATCGATATCAGTTTATATTGTTCTGATGACAAACATATTATTTAAAGCATATAATTAGAATATTTAATTGAGTCATCTAGATATTATTATTTCGGTATAAACGTACCTACCTTCGTATTTATGAAAACGTCGTTTGGAAAATCAAAATAATAAAGAGAGAAGTAATTTTAACTTTTATGTAGGTGTCTACTATCTGTACACTTTCAGCTACGATGGAATTATTGCATAATTATTTTTAGGGGTGTACAATGGGGGACATAACGTTATAAAGGGACACTATGATGTGTTATGATATGTTTAAACAAGCTTATCCGAATTGTTGTTTACACAGTAAAAATAATAAAAGGGGTAACACGTTTCAAACCTAATGTCTATTTGAATACCACGCAATCTTACTATGTATTATTCTAACAAATAATAATAATCGTGCTATGCATAAGTAATGAGTATTAACCGAAACCATTATTGTATTTTGTTTGTGAAACTGATTTAGTTTTAATTTTAAAGAAGATTACAGTCAATGGTTTTAAATTACATATTAAAACGAATAACTATACATGCCAATTTCACTGAATGTTTAATTTATCAATTATTATACTAGATAAAATTTTCAAAATATTTTGACTTGTTTTAAGCTGTTTACGGACAATTTCATATTTCATTTTTTAAAAATAATATCAATATCAAATATCAATAAAGTTTTATCTGTTGGGCTAAAAAACTTAAAAATGTAATAAAAGACTCCTGATATATTGTTACAATAGCAATTGAAAAATGTTAAAAATACATAGGCACAATTTTTTTTATAAGATTTTAAAGTTCAAATATTGAGAAAATATATAAAATTTAAAATTGAATAATTATTTTGTAGTTAAAAATTTATAAAATGTTGAACTTTTATATCTAAGAATTGAAAATTTAAAACAAGATTCCACGTAAGTAGTTAATTCTGTTACCAAAAAATCTAAAAAATACATAAGGACAGTTTATTTTTATAGTCATTTTAAGTTCAAATGTGGACGAAATTACATATTAAAAAACCTAGAATAACTATTTTAGTTATTTTGTTGTGATTGTATAATATTATTCGTGGGTACTTGAAACTTCTAAAGTATACTATTATATATCTATGATAGTATCATGTTTTGTTGTTGATGTGTAACGCGCATTATAAGTACTTAATGGATATTGTGATATGATTAATTTGGAATTTATTATAGGTACCTATTATAGATCAATTTTTTTTTAATACCATAGATAAGTATATAATACCTATACCTAGACTGACATACCGTCTTCGCTCAGAATCGTTTTTCTTATACATTGGTATTATATCATTGAATTCAAATTTGATACCATCCATTATACAGTGACCCATTTGTAAAATACTTTTCAGCAGAGCGACACCCACTTGCCCACCTTTTTTTTGTTTACACACTATTTTTTTAAAAAGACTTATAAAATAAGTTCCAAAATTTAAGCTCTTCAATCAATTATAAGACATTATAACTTATATCAAATCTGCGTCAACGAGTTTATATACGTACATGTACCTACATAGTAAAAATAAATAGGTACCTTAAAATGTACCGTTTTTATTCGATTCGGTAATATATTACTCGCAGTGTGTACTTTAGACATTATTATGTATTTGTGTTACAGGCATATTTTTATAAATTTAATACTGTTGTAATTTAATAAATTAACTCATACCTGGCCAAGGCTTTCCGCACGTTTCGGCGAGTGTGGGATGTTCCGCAGGCGCTTTGGTACGTACCAAAAGCTGACGTTCACCATTTCCGGCTCGAGGATCAAATAATATTTGTCTGGCGATGCCTTAATTTTCTCCACCATGTATTCACTGAGTTCCATCAAGTGGTCCATGTGTTTTTCGAAACCTTCATTACCCTGGACGTGACACGGTGGAGTAGAGTGCGCGCCGGCCGGGAAAAAAAATTACATCGGAATTAGGTCAGTGCGTGAAGAACGGTAAAATTTACCAACTAAAATCGAACAGTAGTTATACCCATACCTTGGCACGCCATTGAAGCCAAAGTTTAAACACATCGTTGTGACGACCACACTGTATTACTTTATCACCTGTATCGTATTGGATGTCGTATAGTTTGTCTTGCATAAACAAGTATTCCGCGCTCATTTGGTTGCAGCTGATCAACAGTCCCTGGAATAATATTATTATGTGCATTTTAATATGATTTTATTATGATTAAATATCAGCTATCTCAAACACGATGTAATTTCCAAAATGGTGACACATGTGGGCAATTATCCAGGGTTTTTTTTAATGATTTTTCTGACTACCTATTTACTTATTCCCTGCAGTTTTGGATTGTAGTTGGGCATTTGTCTACGCGGACCAACCCTACGCACAATGGTTTAAAAATGAAAATAGTTGGCCGAAAGTCGATATTTTGGTTTTGAAAATACTCAGATAAAGATAATAAAATTATTTTGTATACTTCCAAATGCGTATAAATATGTAAAACTTATTTCAAAATATTAATGGGTATACTCATAAAATAATATAAAAGTAGACAAAATATAGTTTTTTTTCTTAATGACTATGATATTTTGTCAATAATCGTCATATAATTTAACTGTCTACAATAAATTAAATTAAAATTAAAAACTAAAAATCAATTTATCTATGTTGGATAAGTTACTAAGATAGTATTTAATGATCCAATTATGAAGTTACAATATTGTTATTAACCCGCATGTGGTCATAAAAATATACAATGTTACAAATAATAAGATAATAAATCTATTAAATTTTATTAACATACAAATTCAATTATTTTTTTTATCGAGTTATACGACCAGTTAAATCACAATCTACTGATTACAAAATTATCATCATTACTCTCTCATATTTGATAGATACTTTTTAATGAACACTAGAAGTTTGAACGTTTGAAAATTTAAAACCGTATTTTATTATGGTTTAGGAATATAAATTAAAAATTGAAGTCCAATACGCTTTGTTAGAAGTATTTCTCTTATCAAAAAAAAAAAAATCTGGAACTAGGATCTTTTTACATATTTTTTACGAGACTTGAGTTTTTCCTGTAAGAAAAGTTTTTGAGAAAAAAACAGGTCACGTATAGCCCCGTCAAGTCGGTATATGAATACGAATTAGGCTTTTGGCCCACTATTTTCATTTTTGCACCACTGTGGACTATTAGGCAACTATTGAACTGTGCTGGCTATACTACTGTTAACTGGACACTTTTTACTTTCATAAGAATGCACAACATACTCAGAAATGGTACCTATGTAAAAACATAGAAATCCGGACTAACCCATGATATACCAAATAAATCATTTTATATTAATGCACTATTTTTATTGTAAATAATAATTTTAAAATTGTGTTTATAAATATAATTAATAAACTAACTAAGTAATATTTACTTGTAATACCTAGGTAATTTGTAATAATAATTGTTTATAAAAATAAAATCAATCAATTGACCAAGTAACTTCTTTTTAGTTTTTGTGTTAAACTTTTACACTAAATAATAGTAGGTATAATTTTATATTATACATTAAATATCATCCTGAAATTCTTTTTTTTTGTACTGCACAAACTAACAATTTTTACTGCACAATTACTTTTCTGACTGCACAAAATGTGTCTCTCCACACTAAAAAAAACCCTGCAATTATCAAACTCGTAAAGGTACTAGCAATGCAATATTTGAAGGGGAGATAGGCGGTGGCCCCTCTCCATAACTTTTCTTATATAGTTTAAGTACCGTACTAATATGTGGCACTCCGCACGGTAACGTCAATTGGACAGTAAAACCGAACTGATTTGTGGGCATTACATATTAGTTCGAATTCAGAAATGAAAAAAAGTTGATTTTTAATTGTATTAAAGTTGTCTTAAAGTGTATTAAAGTGTCGGGCAGAGGTTTCACATAATATAACGTCGTCGAGGACGATTTTTGTTTTTAAACTATCAAAATCTCAAACTTGTTATAAAGGACCTTACTCTACTATCGGGAAATGTTGGCCTTAAGTTCTGTCACGACTAGAGTTATTTCGAAAGCATTTGTCCGTATTATTGTCTGTGGATAAAGGGTTGTAATGTTTTAAACAAAGAATAATATTTTTTTATTTTAAAGAAAAAATACCAACTGTGTCAATGGCATGTGGGTTTTATCAATGCATACCGCTGGTTTATTGATTACCGCTCATTCTATTTTCTATTCGGAAAATATATGTACGTAGAATATGATTGAAAGTTTTAGGTACTTTTACTAAAAATAGTATAGACTATAGGTAAAGTAAATAAATATGTAGTATATTATTATGATAAAATTAAACAACAAAATTGTGTATATAAATGAAAAGAGGTAGAACATGTAAATCATGCATGCATTATGCATTTTATAGGTACTTGTTGTGTATTTAGGTTTATAATTCGTACCATAATGTCAACAATAATAAATATATTACCATAAAACTTTAAAATAACATTAGCGGCGATTTAAAAGCTAAAACCAATAAACAGGTGCGGTTAAGCCGTAAAACTTATACAATTATTATTTCTAGATGATTTTGAAATGAAAGCATAAGACTTTTAAGTTATAGGATAGTTTAGTTACAAGATGAATGTTTTGCTATGGACTATAAGTAGGAAAACATTATTACTACCTATACAGAATCGTAAGTAAATTGTAAACGCATTATGTTGGTACGTTGTGTAGCGTGAACATAAAATAATAATAATAAGACTACGTCTGAGTGTCGCACACCAGGCGCGATACAGGCCATTTTAACAAAAGACGAAAACAGTTTATTAATTAAATTTTATTGCATGATTCAATTATCACATATGATAATTTGAAAGATGAAATTGCCATTTATCTCTTATGGACTATACAGTTATTATCGGTGGCCCAGCTCTTATAAGCTTAACATTTTGTTGGTTCCTGTTGAAAATAATTTAACGTTTATTATACAATGAGTTTTATTTTCTAAAAATTATTAAAAAAACTCGGTGATATACTTTTTATGTAAAAAATATTTGGGACATTTATTTTTAATTTATACGGAGTTTCGGGCCCTCAGCTTTGTTTTAAAGCTATACAAATTCAAGTTTTTAATTTAAAACTGTCGGCTAATGTAAAAAAAAAATACCAAAACAATATTGTTTAATATACGAGCATAATAAGTACCTATGTAGTACTATAAAAACGTTTCTTAATAAATTTAAAGTGAAAATAGTTTAATACAAATTGAACTCGAAATAACAATAGGTACTTAGAATAAATAAAAACCCTTTTATACGAAATATTTCAGTGTTGGTAATTCAACATTTACAATTCTAATAATATTCCAATTTTCACGAGATTATTTCCATGGGTATTCTGTCAGACCATTTAATGGGGCTGCACCGTAGCATATTTTAAAGAGTACTATTTAGGCAGTTTATGAGATATATAAATTAATACTGTATCTATGTGTGAGTAGTAAATGAACATTAGTGTGCTTAATCCGTTATCGTTTCCGAGAATCGCTGCACGTCGAGTCGGACAACCGCACCAGAAGCAACTCTCACACGCGCACGCACATGTCAATACATCAAGAAAAATGTAATATATTCTTGTTTGCATGACTATAAAACTACTAAAAGCGGTAGTAAATTAATCATACTTCCCGAAGTTCGATTGTAATTTTCTAAAAAAATGGTTGAATTTATAAACTTCTAGACTATGCCTCTTAGGAATCACTTTTTTTGTTTAAAATCAGATATGCCCAAAATAAATACAAATGTAATGCAATTATTTCATGGGATTCCTAAAAAAAAAAAAACGGTTATTTTAAGGTCTTGAAAATTGAAAATCGACTTCCTAAGAAACCTAAATATTTTTTCAATGAATTCAAACATTTATAAAAAAAATTTAAATCGGACATTCTGAAGTATGACGTGTAATTTACCACCGCTTATTGGTCTAAAACGTATGGAAAATACGTGGGCTGCAGCCCCCTTAATTATAAAATATTCAAATTTAACTTTGTCAATTTTTCGTCATATATTTTGTACGAATAATATACTATTCGGGTAAATCGTATATTATTTACAGATGATAATGACTTAAAATGTCTGTCTAAGCCCTCTGCGTATGCTCATTAAGCTTTGGTAAAATTTAATGATAATTGTCCCACTAAATCATGCTCTACATTCAACAGTATTATTGTTACTTAAACATATTTTACATTAAACGTAGGTACCTATTTTATGCTTAAATGCACAATATTTGTTGTTATTGTAACAAATAGATAATATTATTATGTCCGTTATTAGTAAAGTAATTTATCGTAGATTATAATATTGAGCATTGTTTAATGTTTAGTGTACATATTTTCTTTAAATTATCGGTCATTGTTTTTTTTTTGGTATAACGCCAAAATCAACAGTAATATTATATTACCTATACCATGAATATTAAAACAATAAATATAATTTATTATAGACAGACGAATCGCGAGTATCGAACATGTCGTACAGTTGAAATTAAGCCCATACGCTTTATACGATTTTATGCTCATGTAGCTAACATACTATTAATTATTATTATGATTTTCACCTATATATTATGTATTATATTATAATTTATAAGGATTAACCATTAACGATTATTAATGTTTTAATACTCACATTCTCTCGAAAATGTATTGTGGAGCACTGGAGTAGGGTGCCCATCAATTTGTGTGGATTCCAAGTCACCGAGTTAGCCCTTTAAAAAAACAAGAACAACTAAATATTCTTAATATTATATATCTAGGGCTCAGAAGTTGATAACTATTTTTTCATTTGTTCCAACGTCCTGGATGATTTATAGCTTTCTTAAAAATGAGTTTTTATAGCACAACTATTTTTCACTGATTGAGTATATAAAACGCCGTAAAACCTGCCTTAGTTTACGGAACTGTACATACAATTATTATATCAATTTAAATTTTACTTACATAAGTGGTTACCACTTATTTAGTAACAATTTAATATGAAGTTTACTAATTAAATTTCAATAGATAAGTACCTATTTTTAAATTACATTAAAATAATAATTTTATATGTATATTATCTAAGTATGCTTGTTAATTGTAAATAATTTAGATCATTAAATAATTATTTACATTATTATTTAATGTTTTTTAAGTAATCAACTCCTATCCCAATAATTATAAAACATCATCGATAAACGGTTTTCTTTTATTATTATTTATTAAATGTCTGTATCACTGTGTCAGAGTATAACTTGCGAGCGAATCTGTAGTTGTTAAATGTGCAGGTAACATATAATATGTATTTAAGCATAAGATACCTTAGAAGGTAATTCAATTTTTATAAAACAATAATCAGTTGTCTTAAACGAAATAAAATATAAAATTAATTAAAATAACTTAATCGTAGATTTCAATATAAATAGTGACTATTATAATTTACAATATTAAGGGACACATGTTGATAGTGGATAGTGATAAATAATAAAATAACAAAACTCCACGGAAAATGTCTATAAATGTTAAAAATATGTGTGGTTACATATTATATTGTGGTTGGAAATTAATAATAAGTAGCCAAGTAGGTAGGTGTAAGGACTTCCGCGGGGATGGGGCGCGTTGTGCCGAGGATAATTCCGTCGGTAAACAAAATGTTTGCACGAACGTTGAAAAATTGTGTCGGAGAAGTAGGGAGAGAAGCAAACAAACAACTACCGACGAGAACGCATATAAAAGGACCTACGATCCTTCCGCGGGGAGTTGTGCTGAAGCGGGGGAGGGGTGGCGTGGTGGATTAGGGCCCATTCGGATATTTACGATTTGGACGCATTAATGTGAGGCGGACGAGCTTAGTTCGCGTTTAAAGCCAGACATTCGCGGTGCTCCGGATAATCCAGGATTTGGTCCCACGGCTAATTCGCATCCATTCCGCAGGAAAAACTATATAAAAAAAAAGGGGCACCCGACTGCGGTGCTCGCTCTCGGTAATGTTCTCTGTGGGTGATCATTATTTACCTACTCCAAGATACGGACCTGCAGCACCACAACCGCCCTCCCGGAAATATTATAGAGGCTTTATTAGCGGGGAAAAAAAATTCCTAATCGTACCCGATGCGTATAACAATCAAATCGACTATACTCGCTGTGTAGGTACGTTATAATCAACGTGAATACCGCCAAGACGAAACGATATTATTGTTATTTATCAGTTATCACTGTTGCTATGCTGCAGGGGACCGAGCTGCTCTGAGTTGGTTGTTTTTCAATTTATCGGTGAAAAAAAAAAGCGCGCGGGGGATATGAAACAGCTATATTATAAGGACTTACAGGATGATTCACCGGCATACTCGCCCCCTCCCCCCATATTTTTGCTTTATAATAAAACATTTGAGGGGTGGAAACCCAAAACGTACTATTGCCAAAACGCTAATTTTTCAGAAGTAGCGACTTTATGTATCCTAACATTTAGAATAAAAACAAACAATTTATAAATAGATAAATCATTTAGAAGATAAGGTATTTTTATTATTAATATTTAAAACGATTCAAATGTGTTCAACATTCTAGGATTACATTTTTAGTTTAATTTCAAGCCTTATTACAATTTTTAAATTCAAATTCTATTACGTTTCGGATTAACTATTTTACTTCCCTATTCCTACAACACAGGTAATAGTAAATACGTTTTGGCATAACATAAAAAAAATACGTTTTGATTTTATGTGTATGGAAAAGGTTTGTTTTGGATTAACCAATCATTTTTAATAGCGAATTTGACCATTAAATAGTACCTTTTTATCTATTCTGACGATGTCAATCGATTTATCGATGTTTTTTCAATAAAAATCGATATCTTAAGTAAGTGGCTAACTCGATTTTGTCAATATTGGCAATAGTACTTTTTGAATTTCCCCCTTCATTTATTTTTATTTATGATTTTTGAAAAATATTTTATAAATAATTACTATATTTTAAAATACTGGAGTTGTTGAACCATCCTGTATCCTGTTATGATTTAAACTTTTTTGTAAACACTAGAAACTGTTTGACAAAATAAATATTTGATGCATCAAAAATCAAAATTAAAATCTGAACAAGATGTGTCTGCTGGTTATTAAACTTTATGTGTTAAGGATAATAATCCTTAATAATATAAATGTACATGTAATATTTATCTAAGTATTTGATAAAATGACGCATATGCCACACATGATACTTGTGACTTATGACCAGTGTTGGGAATTATCTAGATAAAATTATATCTTAAATTATCTTATCTAGATAAAAATAATTAAACCATCTAATTATCTCATATAGGTAAATGTAATGGTTATCTGTGGTAAATTATCTAGATAAATAATATAATAATAAGAATATTTTTAAATACTGAAATAGCCAATAATTTACGAGAACCAAGTACCTAGTGATTTAAAATTTCCAATATTATTATAGTTAAAAAAAGAAATGTTTACTGAAACATTGTCAGTTTTATTTTGTTATTTTATTTTTATTTAAGTTATATTAAAAATTAAAATTTTACATTATTTTAGTTAAGAAATGACATTAAGGATTTATTAATAATTAATAAATATTACCTAATTGGTAATTACTAATAAAGTAATAAATTATTTTATTTATAATATAATTTAAAAACAAATTACCTATTTTTTTATCTAGATAAATGTAAGTGTATTTTATCTTTATCTAGATAAAAAAAAATTATGTTATATTTTATCTTATCCATATGATTTTTTGGTTATCTTTTCCCAACACTGCTCATGACTATACATAAAAATTCAAAAAATCAGAATATGAATAATTACTTTGGTAACGAAAAATAGAAGAGGGTTGAGCGTGCTTGGTGAATAACCTTGTTTATAATAGAGTTTTACTGGTATATTAATATTATGTGTGTCTCTCGTGTTTATAATACTAAATACCGTAGCTGACGCTTGTAATGTTCACAGCTCACACTTTGTTCAAGTTCTCAAATTGGGCCATGTTTTTTTCCCAGATCGATATTAATTTAAGTATTCGGGCATTGATAGTCAGTAAAACACTCATGTACATGCACAACGCCTAGAGTAATACCTCCGCCTACATTATTAAACATGTTTAATGACCATATACTAGACGAGTTGTCACATAAATGTATGTGAACTACCGTAGGTCGGGACAACTGTTATGTTAAAGGATTTATAGAAGGGACCTAAGCTCATAGACCGTAGGCAATTCACCCTAGCCATGGTGTTAATAATTAATTTTGAAAAGATAAAAAGTATAGTCGTTTACAGCAGAGTGTATAATAATTGAAAATGAATACATCTATAGTCTCTATTTTTTTTTATTTTATAATGCCAGTTATTTGAGTGTGAAATCAATAATAATACTGACAATTTAAGTAGAGACAAAATAAAACGTATCAATAATATAATTGAGAAATAAAGAATTAAATAAAGCCCAGTGGTTAGTATTTTGTTTTAAACGTGTATAATATTACTATACATCCCCCACCCGGGCATGGCAGATACCTACGGGTGTCACACTTGAAAAATCTGCCAAAAACTACACACACGTGTTTACACCTACTGTTGCCTCCCCCACAGCTTAAAACTACCCAACGGCCTAAGTTAACTAATAAAAATAAAAAATAAAATAATAAATGACTATAAATAATACGAATAACAAAACTGGAAACTGAAACACGATAGAAATTTCTATATTACTTGTACTATCTCATAATATTATAATCAAGATGTATATGTTATACATAGGTGTTATGTGTACCTACCGGTAAGATGAGAACGATGAACATTTTGGTATTGCAGCGACAAAAATTATTATACAAGTATATAACAACGATAACAAATGCGTTTAAGGCATGTTTTCGCAGCAAATTCGTCTTCTGTAATGGGTCCAGCAGCGAAATCCAAACGGGCGAAACCGCGGCTGCAGCGGGATCATGCGAAAGGATTACGCCGAACTGATTGGGGGGGGGGGATGGAAATTTAGTTTTTTTTCGACCAATATTGTTTACAGCGGGGTTAGGGTCGTGTGTGCTCGGGGCAGACGGTAGACGTTTGATTAATGAACGGACATTAAAATTCAATTAAGCGCTTCGGAGGGACGCGGCGCTCGCGTAGGGGAGGCGCGGCCACTGTTGCGGGCACGCGGGTGTCGTCGTAACAGCGAGTGTGTTGTATAAATATAATAGCTGCAGTACGTGATATTAGCGGTAGTAGATACACACACACACACACACACACACACGCAAGCAGAGCCCACCCAGTGACACATACATATTGAATCGTACGATAGTGAGTCCTCCGGGAATGCGTTTATCGTGCAGTTTGCACTGTGTTTACACACAAAACCCTTTGGCTAGGGCTTCGTTTATCATCGTCTACCCACACCGCGACACGTGCCAGCTCGAAATCTAATTATCACGCGCTTAACCGGCCGCCAACCTAAATACTGCTAAATAGTAATAATAATGATAAAAAAAACCACCAGTGTCACTTTATTCGTTATTGGCATATTTTGTCGCTAATCGCTATTGTTTTCCACAACGGATTTGCATTTGATACGTACTCGTTGTTTTAACACAGGTCATTGATGACTCCGACAAAACTGAACGTCGACGATACTGCGACGGCAATTATTATGACGTGAAGTGAAAAAAAATCGAATTCTACATTACATTACCTTACAGCAGGTGCATAATATATTTATAAATACAAAACGAGTGTTAACTAATAATCGTTATTAATTGCAAATACGATACAACTGCAATATAGTCAAGACACTGAATCTTACCGATTTTTTTTGAGCAGTCATCACGTACCTACTGACGGCGCCCTGCTTGTATTTTGTTAGTTTTACGTAAGTAATTCTTAAACTTGTCTGGTTTTAAAAATTTACTATTGTCGCTATTATAGCAATTTTAGTACCTATGAATTTTTCTAACTCAAATAAAAGTCATAAATTATAAAAAATTTCAAGTTTCTATAAATTGATGTGTTGGTATCGATAAAAATTAAAAATCTAATTTTGAATCCGTCTAATTTGGTTGTAATAGTGCGTTTTCCGTTTTATCATATTTTATTTTGTGTGTTGTGGTTAAGTTACGGATCGATCCACAAGAATCAGGATCGACAATAATTTACATAATGTGATCATAGTCTAAAATGCATTTAACTGTATATGTTATATACAACTAAAATATTAAACTACATTGCTAATTTCAAGGAAATAAACACATTACGTTAATAATATTAAGAAACGGAACTAGAGAAGATTATTATTTCTTTGAGCATTTTTATAAATGAAATGACGAGAAATGGAGATAATTATTATTGATATTTGATTCGTAGCACCGAAAGCTTATAATATTATTAGGTACACACTTATTGCGTAATATACTAATATAGTTTAATATAATACATTTTCTCATTGGTGTTTCAAAATGCGTGAAAACACTGTAAATAAAAACTCGATTTTATACCTATTAATTATTAAAACGATTGTATATAACCTTAACGACTTAGGCTTAAGTGAGTGGGCGTATACCGTCAACCGTAAAAAGTAGCAACTACAACTTAATCTATGTAGACTATAATACGACCAACCAAATTATGTCCATATCATAGTAATATTATTACTTTATTTGGTCGTACATGTTTGCCATTATAGTGCAAGAAGTAAGTACATGGTACATCGACAGTTATCGATGAGAACTTAATTTAATAATACAAAACTAAATACTTACCGTTCAATGCCATCCAGACGGGGATGTCGGTACTTGCGAGATAGAAGCAATCCTCCTCCCCAGGCAGCATCGATGTGAAGCCACATCTTATATTTTTCGCAAATATCCGCAATTTCGTTGATTGGATCAAATGCACCAAGAACGGTCGTGCCAGCAGTGGCAGTGACGAAAAATGGTATGTGGCCTTTGGATTTTCTTTCCAATATGAGGCGCTCCAGTTCAGAAGGTATCATGCGGCCTCTAAGTCATAAACAGTTATGCACGTAAAAATAAAACTAGACTAAAAATAGAAAACAATTTTTAATCCTAACTTGACGACATGTATTATTTTTTAATAAAAACATTTTACATACATATTATAATATACCTAGTTATAAATTATTTGTACCTATTTATAATACAATTCAATTGTATTCCATTCATCCATTCAATAGATTTAATAAAAAAAACAGTATGATTAATGAATATTGATTATAATTTTAAGCTTTTATTATTATAAGTTATAACTTTGGTATATATTGAGGTTTAATGCAAATATTTCACTTTTTATTAATCGCTTTAAGCTTTAAAGTATTATAGTAAGTATACACTACTGTCTACTGCTATACATTATACAGATTCTCGTATTATACAATCAATATATTTTATTAGATTTCTGCTTATACTTTTAAGTAGGTACACGAAAACCTAAACTTCAAACTGTTTTTGCAATACAAATTGATTTTTTACATAATAAATAATAATCATATTTTATAAATTATTGTTCAACTTATTATATTAAATGTAAGCTCACTACATAATGAGTTTCAAATAAGTATTTCTATAGATTGAAATAGTATGAGTACATATTGATTAAGTACCTATAAATTATAATACAAATAAAAAATGTGAATGTAGTTTTCTTACGGCTGAAAAAATAAATAACACCAATTTAAATCCTATTTTTTATTTTTTTGTATTTATATGCATTTTGTAAGAACAACATTTTGATATATAGTGTGTATATAATTACATGGATTACATGGCTGTGCAATCTGAGCGGAAGATGGAAAATTGTATTTTATGTTCGTATTTTATGGACACGACACGGCAATATGTTCAGAGGGAGCTAAGCATTTTTAATACACACATTCATGTGGGGTGAAGTTTCACCCCTACAATTACATTGTGGTACCATGTGATGGGTATTGCTCTTGAAGATATAAAAGTAGAAAGATTTATGTTTATACAAATTACCATATTTTATAATAAAACCAAAACTACAGACGAAATTACTCTTTCGAATATGATATTAAATGTGATTCTACTGACTTCGAATAAAATTACCTTAGCTGTCAGATCAATAGACATAAGCAAACGTTTTTAATAGAACGGGTTCTCTGCATTAAATTATTCCTACGACAATTGTGGTTCGGGAGTTGTAAGTAATAATCTACCTCAAAGCGGTTTATTTTCTTTTAATTAAAATTATAAATTGTGTGACGAATGTCGATTGTACAGTTATTATTATATTATACACATTTTTGTTTAAACATGTGTCCGGTGTCGTATCAATTTTTATTTTTTTTTTGTTTAATGACGATTTTCGAAATTCGAAGGTTTTAATTCATTTTTTTAAATTAATGAAACTTTTTATTCTTCTCCTGAAAAGTTATAATTTTGGAGTTATTATAATATTGCTAGTTAGACCGACGATATAGTAAGTTAACCTATGGCGGATGCTCGGTACATTTTCAGTGTAAATCTAATTTATATTGACATTGGTTATTAATTCGTATATTATGTCTATACGACAAACGGTTTATCGGAAGATAACTGATAACAAATTGTAAGAATACCCGAAATGTATTGTAATTTGTAGACATAGTGTAACGACTAACATTGATAATTTAAGTTCAGTAGTCCACTTTTAGTTTTAATTTTAAAAGCAAATGCACTTGTTTAATGTAGTCATAATATTATTTATTATGTTATATTATTATATATTTATCCGTGTTCTTTCAGACTATTTTTTTTTTGAATATTTTAAACTATGGTAAGTTATAATCATTATTAAATATTTTTTTTATATATTTTACAAACTTATAACTAGGTTTCAAACTTTTAAATGAAAATATTGTTTCCTTTAAATTTTAAGTTTAATAATAATATGTCAATTGACTTTCATATAAAAACTAACACAACTAAACGAGAATTGTTTAACACAAATTTAATAATTAGGCTTAAAAAATAACAGTGTAGCTTCCTCTTAATATAAAAAAGATGATAAATTTATAAATACAAAATTTAAAGATTTCATTATTTAAAATATTAGGAAATTATATAAATGCCTAATACATATCACAATAATTTACATTTATATCATATTAAAGTTAGTTGAAAACAAATTACGGATTATAAAAATTTAATCTTTAAGTAAAATCTTGATATGCATATACCGAATAGGTACGTTTATGATTCAAACTATTATTGTGCGGTTTGTATAGTATTTTTAATAATATTATAAATAATAGGATAACTATTAAGCATTAAGTAATTATTTATGATTATAAACTATGTTTATTTACCATATTTATGGAATATCCGGTATGATAGAAGTTATAATTTTGCAATTAATATTTAACTACACTGGTACATTATGTTAAAATTTAACTATACGGTCATTAAATACAATAAACTATTTAAATTGCTTTAGTAATTTAATATAACGCATGACAACATATTTTGTATGGTTTAACAATAATAACTTGTATATTGTAATAATACATATTTGTTTGCTATTTCATTTAGGAATTTATGATTTTATTCATGAAATTATAACTATTTTATTACTTATATAGTTCCATCATCATTAACAACTTATAAATAATTTGAATAAAATAAACAAAAATGAATTATCTTCACCTATTTTCTTTAAATTATAATTAATAAACTAACTATAGTATGTGAGGTTGTAATTAGATATTTATAATTTAAAATTTAAAAAAAAAATAAAGTAAACCAAATCCCTATTAAATGTTATAGTCTAAATTTAATATATATAATTTGTTAAATAAAAAAAAACTAACTGAAAAAATTATTCAAATCATACAATCGATTATGTTGAAAAATGGCTTGGTATAAAAATAAAAAAACTAAACGTGAATCATTTATACTAAGGTTTTTTGATTTTAAATTAATGATAATGATATTATAATATTTATGATAAAACAAATCACAGCATTAAAAAAAAATTAACTATTTAAAATTTCAAATATAGCATAAGCCATTAAGTTTAAAAACTATCATCGTCATACTTTAATAGGTCTTTACATTTTACAATTCCAGTATTTTATACTTTATTTGAATTAAAATTTTTTTTTAAAGCATTAAAATATTTAAAAATAATAATATAAATTGAATATAATCTGTAAAATTATACGAGTAGAATACATTTTACCTTTCGTCGCTTGGTACATCGACGCAATTGTCCGTTCCTAGACCACATACTGAAGCACAACTCTTAACCGAATAATGAGACTGAAAAAAAAACAAGTTTATAATATTAATATGATACTATAATTAAATTATAGAATTACAATATAAATATTATATTAATGCCGCTATCTCGACATTTTGTTGATAAATACAGTCTACGTTATGATATTATAATTTTTAATAATAAAATTCTTGTAATATTTTCTTGTTGAAAAGCAAATTTTTGTATTTTTATTTTGCAGAATAAAAAGTAGTAATAAAAACTAGAAATACTTGTAATATTTTACATCGTCTTCCAGAATATTTTTATAATGGAAACGACGTCGTTTTCTACCCGTGTAAGGTAAAAAAGCAGAAAGTTCTGATATTATAATAATATTATCTTGTACCCACTACAGTACGATACACATTTTTAATAAATGTATTTCCCGATGGTATAAAATCTTAGCTAAAACGGTTTCGTAGAGGGTATTTACTATTATTAATATATCACAGAGGCACAGAACACTCGAAATAAAATCTCTTAATTTTCATTATAGCTATCAATCTTTTTTCAGAAAAAAAATATACATTATAATAATATCTGTTTAAAAAAAAATGACCGTAATATTTCAATTAAAAATAATAATTATAAAAATAAGCACCCAAAATCTCCTACCAAATGTGCTATAGGTAGCAAAATCCTATAATAGGGACTGTGTGAAAGGGCAATGTGGTGGGGATGGAAAAATAAGTCATCAGTCAGTTTTTGACATGAAAGAGTATTGAAAATTAGATTGATGTCTCCAGTCTTTGGATTTGGTCAGTTTGAATAGTAACCATAACCTTATTAATGTTAACTTTGATATGCCAAGTAAAATAAAAGTCAAAGTTTTGTTTTCATCTTATAATTTATGATGTCATGTCGGGGCTGTTAAAATTTTCCTACTCATTCAAACGAACCATAAAGAGTATAGAATATCGTAATACATTCAATTTGATTTGTGTAATTAGGTACTATAATAATTATTGCTATACGTACAACTATTTGTTTGGGAATAATACTCAGTATATTCACATTTGTATAAGAAGGTACAAAATATTGTGTTTATTTGATGTAAGAAAATAATACTGCTACTGCGTGTGTTACCGTGCGCTTACTGTTTAACCATTTAGTACCCAGCGGCAAAAATGGAGAGCGTCTTATATAATAATTGTAACTCAAAATTATTTTGGAAAAATGCTGTACCCGCAATCAGCCAAACGGTGTATCAATTTTCAGATAAAGTTCCAAAAGTGTGGGGCGCAAACACCCATGTATAACTATACATACTATATTATACTAGTTTTATCAAGGTGAGGCACCTCGGGGGAAATGTCCCCTTTGCCACCCCCTTCACACGGCTTTTTGCAGTGTAACACTTTGCATACACGCGTCACAGGTACCTATACCAAACAAATTACAATCGGTTTACATAAAACACAAATTAGTTATAATTTATGTAAAACATCATAATTCGCTCTCTCTTTCGACGCACTTGTCGGTCGAGGATGTTATATATTATGACCCGAGGGACTGCTGCAGAGCTTAGGTACCTATACACTTATTGTATTACAGTACGCAGAAAACAATAGATTCGTTTTAGTCTCTGTGCACATTATTATTATTATTGTTGTTGTTGTGCAAAAACCCATAGCGTTACTCGACATGCACGCCCGAACGAATCAAAATTCAAAGTGCTCCGGCACAGCAACATCTGGAGCCGTTCTCTTGTCACGATCCTGTATGTACGCCTCGACGTTTCGATTTGTCCGGAAATCGTAAGAGCGGTAAAAGGCGTCAGTGCACCCTTGTACTATATATAACCGTAAGGGTAGGAAAAAACTGTCTGTTTAATAAATATATGTATATATAAGGCTTTAGGCTCAACGGCAAAAGTTCACGTCAATAATATAATATATATATATGTACAGACGCATCTATGCAGTGAGTTATATATATATATATTATAGCAGCAACGCGATCGTATATTTTATGATGGATAAAAATATTACTTCAGGAATGTATTATCGTACTTAAAACCGAAGAAAATAGTTTGCGACATTGTGCAAGAGCAAAAATGATTAAAACCAACCATGAAAAAAAAAAAAATAATAAATCAAAATTCACTGTACAGTGTTGTGCAAAAAAACTTTCATGATTAATCGATGATTAAAGTTTAAAAAGATTGCATCTATAATTTCAGAATAATAATAAATTTCAATAGATGTACTTTCATTTAATTAGTCAACACAAAAAAGACGGATGAAGATTGATGTTAAAATAAATACAATTTGTCTATGAAAAAATGAGTGAAATTAACTATACTCAATAATAATTGAGCATTTAATGTTGTTGATTCTTTATTAATTTCGTGTAGCTTTATTTTCATTAATTATGAAATATTATTTGAACTATTATTATGTTATATTGGAGTGAGTATTGAACGATGATATAGGTATTGACAAATTCAATGAATGTACCAACCTATATTTATTGAAATGTATGAATTTTAAATTATAGAAATAATCTTTAGAAGGTTTCTCTTTTACTAAAGGCTATGTTTTACCATTGTCGTTACAGCTAAATGTAGTATCAGTTTCTTTGTTTTTAGTGGCTGATATTTTCTTTTGTTCTATGTGTAGTATGTGATGATTAATAGGGTTTTAATATTGGTTCCAACGTCGTTGTTGTTTCTTAAATTTTATATTTTTGATGTTCATGCTAAGGAAAGGTCTACTAATTCATTTTTAAAACTTGTGGTTCATATTTTTCTCAGAATCGAACAGTATAGTTTTTTTTTTGTACAGCGGTGAATTAATCGTTTATCTATACAATATTTTGTAGTAATATTGTTATTTTAAATAGGTACCTACAACGATTAAATTAAGTAAATGCTTAAAATTACTTAAATACTCTCCACTTAATGTCGATCGAATCGATAAAATCGATTTAAGGATTAAAATAATGATCAAGTATAAAATAAAATATTTTTTATCTCACAGAATGCTGTACCTATATATACCTACCAATTTAATTCGTTCAATAAGTAGTTCTTGGTACAGACGAGGCTATCGACCATTTTTATATTAATGGTTAAAAGTTGGGTTCCCGGGTTTTATATAGTAAGAATATGAGAAAAATATATAAACTCAGCAAAAACTAACGTAATATTAAATATTATTGGGTGAACAAAATTATAGTTTGCTGTTGTTTTTTTTTTTTTAAAAACATACGTATTTAAAAATTGTTATTCCCTTGTGAGTTAAAATTTTTTTTTGAAACGTTATTTTAGTTTTAAACGTGGAATAATTTGCTATCAAACTCAGAAAATATTTAATAATTGGTAGCTATACTAAAATCGTCTTATCTATTAAATTATAGCGGTAACATAAACACATATGTACACCAACACCTTATTAGTTATTACTTATAAATTATTACATTGTGCGCGAGAAAAACGGAGTATACTGTCGGTAGTTACCTATATTATATTAACATCTACGTAATAATAAATTATATTGTTGATTTACTGTGATACGAATAATACTACGGTGGAACGGTTTTGAGGTCGAATACCGACTAATTTATTATACGTCTTATGGCCAGTTATTATACGTACCTATACAGTTCCTACACAGAATATAACCTAAAATATTTCTCTATTTACTATAACCTCATAATAATCGTATCGCGGGCGGTGTTACTCTGCAGCAGCATATAATGATATTGGGTTTGGCGACCGAATTCTGATGTATATATAGGTACTATATTATAGTCACTCACTATAATAGTCGTACATTAATAACATGTACATACGACGCGGTCGGTGCGTCTGGCATTTGTGTTATTTTAAATTAAAAAAAAAAAAAAAATCGGAAAATAAAAAATACACCCCTACAATGCTAATGCGCGAGGCATTTGCAGAGCTTAGGGCGGAACTCGCACACGTACACAGTGTATGCACATATTGTTCATTTTGGTAGACGAGTGAGCATAGTTTAATTTCTAGTTCGCTGCACCGCATGCATGTGCATCTCTGTCGATTGTTTTCTGCATGTCGAGCGATGTGTTATTAAAATATAAATATGCGCGCCTGCCCTCTTTCAGATTGATATTGGCGTTTGTACTATTATTATGCAAACGTCAGGGTTTTTTTTTTGTCAATCGACAAATAATAAGATCCTCCTCGAGAATAATAATTATTGAAAACAGGCGAGGACTGGTAAAAAAGGGCACTAGATGCTACACAATTTAAAGGGCAAATAACGAACATTTTTGGGGTAAATTTAAAATAATATGTAGATTATTTGATGAACATATTTTATTTTGTTTTAAAAAAATAATAAATATTGAATATACGTTAAAAACATAAATAAGTAATAATTTACAACAAACTTTCAATCAAAATTGTAGAATACTATACCTAATAGATCACTAATAATCGTAAGTTGGTAACGATCTGCTGTCCATTAAGTGTCTAGAGTCTTTAAATATATAATCAATAATATTAGGCTAATATTATATTTTAGGGCAAGGCATGGCATAGCATCCCAGCCTCCCAGACAGTTCGCGCTTTACGCTTTATTGAAAACAAAATACGGTACCTACCAGTAGATATAATATATATTAATAATATAACACGCGCGCATGTTAATTCTTAATAATAATTATAATGAGTACGCAAAATTACACTTACACATATAAGAGACTTAGTAGGTATGACAATTAATTTGACAGAATATACTTTATTAACTGGACTGAAGAATCAAACTATACACGGAGAAAAGACAAAAATAATAAATCAAACCAAATGTACAACTACGTACAAAGGGATATGATTCATAAATAGGAACATTTTATTTTAAAGGGATTCTTTGTTGATTCCTATACTATATACCTACCATTCCCCTAACATCACCACTAGATTAATTGAATTTACTAATTTGATATATTCTATTATTATTTGACATTGAAGTAATTATATTACTTGCGTTGAACATTTATGAGACCTCAATTCAAAATAAATTGTAATTTCGTTTATATAATATTATAGTTACTATCTATTGAAATGAACAATATACGGGAACCCTCCAAAAAGGAAGGGCGCATACAAATCCTGAAAAAGAATAATCAATCAGGTCGAATATTATGTGTATATAAATTAATTAGGTAAACAGTTATATATGAAACTGCAGTTTTGGATAAATTTTATTAATTAGATATTTTTTAAACTACAAGTTGTGCAGCAATGAAAAGTGTTCCAAACGTTTTGATTTCAAAATTAATAAGCAAATAAGCATAGATTGTAAATTGCAGTCAATAAAAACTTAATGTGTGTGCTTAACATTTCCAGTAAAACGAACAAGTCAGTATAGAAGTTCAATGTCTATACAACAAGATTATAAAATAACGCTAAAAATGTATACGCATATTGATAGCATATTGCTGTCTGTAGATTATTTAATGACTAAAATCGTCGTAATATTATTATTTATAATATATATATATTTATCTAAAACGGTAGATAATATATTATGCATGTAGGTACTAGCTAAATTAAATAATTCCGACTTAACAATGCACACTTGCACGTTTCATTTAACTATGCCTATAATCTATCGTATTAATATTACATAGGTCATAGGTGGTTTTTCGATATCGTAAATGTTATCAAATTCAGTGCCTAAGGTCGGTACCAACTGTTCGATGAATCTCACCCGGACTTTATTATAATGTACAACAATACGAATAAGATACGGTGAGAGCTTCTTTCATTGCCATACCTATCTCTATAGACTATAGTGTATCCACTACATATATATTATGAACAATAATTTACGGTTTAGGCACTATCGCGGTTCACGTGGTTCGACGATTTATTGACAACGAGCAGCTGAAGTGCAATTCTGAGGATGACAAAATAATAAAAGTACAGAGCACGTCACAATAATATGTATACGTCCGTTGTAATCTAATCCTCTCATTTGTCTGCCGCACGTCATGTCAACCGAAACTGTCGGCCCACGTCAGTGTAAACGGGCTCGACGGTGGGTACCTATTCCGTCAGTGTCGAAAAACGACTTACCCCTCCCCCGCCCGATTTTGAAAACCGTAACCGTGACAAGCGCGACAGACAGCGGCTGTCCGAAAAACGTTTAAACACGCTGTACAGTTTATATTTCAATCGTATATATTATTATAAAATATATGGTACGAAACGCATTGTGGGCTCTCACTTGGTTCGACGTGTACATGACCAGTTGTCCTTTGATAGAGTGAAGTCCTTGTTCCTTGTATCCAGGGAACATTTTGTGCCGGGCTGCCAAAAACGCGTACATGTTCGATATCGATCCACCTGAAAACAAGATTACATTGTTTAATCGAATTATATAAAGAAAAATGAAACGACAGTCCACGAATCCCCACAATTTCCCTGATTTACAATTTTCCGATTAGAGGTTTTCCTATACGAATAACATTCCTGGGTTTTATTTTCCTCGCTCTTGACCACAATAATGTTATGAATTACTGTTATGTTTTATAATGTCGATGTTAATATAATGTCACCTGGAGCGAAAATCGAGTCACCGCCCTTCCACCCGATGATTTCCCTCATCTTGGTCAACACCACGTTTTCCATGAGAATAAACACAGGAGCTATTTCGTACGTGAACATGTTCGTATTTGCCGTTGCCGTCAGCCATTCGCCGGCCATGGACACGATGTCCAGACCACACGAGAGCTGGTTGAAAAATCTTGGATGTCCTGCAATGTAAAAACAACTTATTGGTATACCTATAAGTATATATAATATAATAATATAATGCACAGTATAATTATAATTAATTTTTATAATACATAGGTGTTATTATGAGTGTATCACGAAATAATGTGGGATCCATTATGCTATTGACATTATATGTGTAGTCGTAGTGTACTAGTGTGTACCTAATAATGTTATGTAGATATACCTATACTTATTTATGTTTTGATTAAATTATTTACATGAACGCCAGCGCACTTGCATTTCAAATTTATACATCAAATTGGTATTATTATGTACATTAGATAGTAGTACCTAGCTGTAATATAGTATTTCTTTCGCTCTCAACGCACGTAATAGAATAAGGTACCTACTATATATAAACAGTTTGGATTTTGTTCTGTTTATTTACGAGTTATGATTTACAGTCTAATAAATTCGTTCCTATATAAATTATAATGGGCACGCATTCTCGTTTGAAATACCAACTACGGTGAAAATTCGAATATGCTCTGTGTGTATATGCATTCTTATCAATCCCCCCTCCTGTTCCTCCTCCGAAAGTATTCACAAATGAAGCTCGGAGATTACTTTGTACAGGACGTTTCGCCGAACTAATTAAACACCCGCGCATCCCTTAAATTATTTTTTTTCTTCCAGCGACGGATTTCAATTTCGACCGTCCCCTTTACATCGCCGATGTGAATAGTTATAGATATATATGCGTGGGTCGATCGGGATATATATTATATACGAAAGTCCCCTCGACGAACCAAACATATACATTATACGCGGCGACAATGCGATTTTTTTGGGGCAGTAAAAAAAAAACCCGTTTATACACTCGTATATACTATAATAATCATAATAATAATAATAATAATATGCTATACGATATGCGAATAATATAACTCTGCGCTTTTGGTCGCCTCGCCGATACGTTATTATTTATTATATTATTATAAAGTTCGTTTCGCCGATGAGGAAATGCCCGACGGCGGCGGCGCTGACCGCGTTATCGGGAGGAAATGTTGCACGAATTCCCGGCGGGCCGGAACCAGCTGACGACACGCGTTGATAACGACCGCCGTTTATGATAATATTATATAATACCTATAGTATATAATAATAATAATAATCATTTTGGGGCGAGCGACGATCTCGAAGACCTTGTGGCTGAAAACGATCGATCTGTAGTCGCGAGAGGTTATCGTCATATATATAATATTATCATAGGATTTTTTTTTATCCCTGCACCCCCTCCGCCGGAGACCACCACCATTTTGATTGGTATACGAGCCATGTGGTTACGGGGGGTGGGGTCGGGAGTGTGTACGTTCGGTGTAAATAACGTAAAAAAAAATATTGTTTCATTGAATCTCTTCGGCACACGTGACGGCGGCGGTGGCGACGCGACATATATGGTCGTATATTATATTATTATATTATATACACAGCCACAGACCCCACTCGGCAGGGCGACTCAACCACTCCTCACACCACCTCGCCGACCACCACCCCCTCTGCAGAGGTTTGCCGATAAGAGCGAGCGGTTTGAATAGCAGCTTGTTAGACGTCATTAACACTGAACGCCAGTTCTCATCAATCATGCACCGGAGCGCGTGCCGAAACTTTCGCCGCGCCTGTTTAATATAAATATATATGAAAAACAATAATATATATGCCAAGACCCTCCAAACCACCCCCACCCACCCCTGGGACCACTTAATAGCCCATCCTCACTCACACACACACACACTTTCTCCCTCGTACAGTCGTACGTGGCGTTTTTACCAGAAAAGTATATGTGCACACGATCCCTTCGGACGGGTTGCCCCCGTTCAGATTCTTTTGCAAAACATATTATATACTTCCGATGTGACCGGAAAATAAATCGGATATACACCGTCCCCGCTGCAGGTAGTAGTGTTGGAGTGTGTATACAATATGTGTTTATGGTTTTTTTTTTTACCTAACCCACCATCGGTCGTTCATTTATTTCGTAGTCTCTCTCTCTCTGCAGGCGATAAGTCAACGTCCGACACACGGCAGCCCTGCGAGGCGCGAATAGTCATCGCTCTTATACACCGTCACAACCTATATATTATGCAATATATAGCTCGGCTATTTTATTCGTGATTTTTCTCTTACTCAAACGTAGATTTACGATTTAGTTTCCCATGCGTCGTAAGCGATATTATAATTTCATGGTTCGGATTTTTTAAAACTTAAAACATATAACATTTGGGAAAAACAAGTGTTGAAAATACTTTAAGTGAAAATCAGAAAAAAAAAATGAGGTCTAAGTTCAAAAAACGTTTTTATAAAAATGTATAAATAGTAATTTATTACTAATATAACAAGTACCTTATAGTATTTTTTTTTACATTCAATTCTTATTTCTAATGTTAGGTTATATTTTGTCATAAATTGCAATATAAAATAATTATTGATACATTTTCAAAAGTCAATTTGGTCATAATTCTTACATAAATAAATAGCTTTAGCTTACATTCTTCCGAGCTTATATTATTTTATAATTTATTATTTATACAATGGAATTTTATTAAAAAAGTTTAATAATAATACTAAATAATTCTAAATGCTTAAAGGCTTATTTTTTTTTCTATTAAAAGAAATACCATGGTTATTTTGCCAGACTATGTCAGGATATCAAATTTAAATTAATTTTTTCTTCGACAAATTGAGATTCCGTCTTTATTGATCCGTATTGATAAGTGACAACAGAATATTTATTTTTCAAAGATTTATGTACACAAATATAATAGTATTCAATTTTTAATTTATATTTAAAATATGTATTCAAAATAAAAATCTGGATTAAAATGAATTTAAAAACGGTAAACGATTGGTAAAATTATTTTGAGTAACTACTAATTTTATTATATAAACAATTTGTGTAACTTTTAAAGCTCATTCTAATTTATCAAGAGTTAAACTACGATAGTTATTATTTGAAGCCGGCTGTAAGCACATAAAAACCTAAGACACAACGCACTGTTGTCAATAGGAATGTATCAACAAATTACAATATTAGAATGGTTCTACAATTAGAAAAACAAAAAATAAAATAAAAAATACATTGAAAATAATATAACTGTAAAACCAATATAGGTACATTACTCTCATCAATAAGAATTTAAAACTAATATCAAAGAGGTAGACCTTAGCCTGTTATAAGAGTAATATTTAGGCAATTCATATTAGATATTCATGTTATAGGCTGTGTCAATGATACATGAGTACATGAGTAGAAAATGAACATTAGTGGATTTAAATATTAAGTCCGTTATCGTTTTTAACTCTCACACGTCATGTTAATACCACATGAAAAATGAAATAAATTGTTGTTTGAATACTTGCAAAAACTACAGAAAGCGATAGTAATATTTAAACATACTTTTTTATTTAAAATCTGATGTCCCCAAACCAAATACAAATGTAATACAATTATTTCACGGAATTAAAAATAATATATTTTAAATTTAAGGTTTTTTAATATTGAAAATCGAACATCGACTTCCTAAATAGCCAGATATATTGTTGAAGAATAATTCATACATGCATTAAAAATTAACTTCGGACATTTCGTATAATTTACCACCGTTTATTGGTCACAATCTATGTGCTTTGAAATGTGATAGCCTTAATGGCTTAATAACTATTTTAAACCGAATTAGTACCAAAGCAGTATCTACCTAGAATAAAATATGTAATATAATATTGAAATATTGAAACCAACGATTAGATTGAATTGTATAATTATGTTATACGCAAAACATAAGTTTCGGAACATGTGTTGTTTAATATTTTAATTTTTAATTTTTAGATTCGAGTATAATATATTATTATGACAGTTGAATATTTAGTACCAAAGTCCGATCTAGCTTTTTAAATTTTATTGTAATTTGTAATAGTTTATTAATTCACAATTGATATATTAATGATTGATGTAAAATAATAATCTCAAATTAAGAATACCAACATATTTTATTGTGATTAAAATCAGGGCTTGCATTTGAAAAAAAATTCCGTTTTATGTTATTTAAAATCAAAACGTTACTCAATTTTTGCGCTTATCATTATTCAGAATTGAAACGTTATCCTAGTTTGCGTTTATCGTTATTCAGAATTAAAACATTATTCAAGTTTTGGGTTTATCGTTATTTAGAATAGTGTCAATACTTATTAAATGTATTGATAATAACTTAGGCTGGTAGGTAATGACTAATGGCCCAGATAAGGAATATATTTCTTTTTTATTATGAATGATATTTTAACATTTAATTATAATATCTCTCCAATTATGTACATTAATCTGAAATACGTTATACGGAATATCATCTAATAATTTCTAATGTCCATATGCATGAAATAAATATTTCTACGAAACCAATATAACTTTTAAATAAATGGATTTTAAATTATTTCGTTTTACGTTATTTTTTGTTCAATGATATTCTATAAATTACATTTTGCGTTATGTTTTGATATATCATATATTTTTTTAATTGTTGGGTAGGTATGTTTTGATTTGCGTTACTAATTATTTAATTATTTTTGACTATCTCTTTCCGTTATCATAATGTTTACAAATTTCAATCGTTTTTTGTCAAATAAAAAGTTATAATCATAACGTTATTATAAAGTTTGCAAGCCCTGATTAAAATACATTTTGATTTTAAATAGAATAGATTATGTTTTTATTATAATTTATTACGATATGGAGTATGGACAATATGGTAGGTAATTGATGTAACCATTTATTAATTTTTAGATTAATTTGTATATATACCTACACAACTTTATAATTTTGATTATTAACAATAGTTAATACTCAATACTATATAATTTAATAAATGTTTTTTTATTTAAAAACGTATTAATACTCTAAGCTATACCTAATATAATATAACAAAGAAATAATAATATAATAACAAGAATTATTTCATATTTTATAAATGTACAAAATTAAATTAAT